GGCTGGGAGGGACAAGTACCCTGTGTACACAGTGTTTTCTCTCCATATGGAAGCCAGAAAATCCCATGTTTGGGCTGCTTTCTTTGAATTTTGGTCTTTTTTTTTTAACCTTTAAACTTTCCTTTTTATCTAAAAAAGTCATGTGTAAATATATATATATATATTTCAAAGCCAAGCACAAAGTTTAGCACAGCGTTGGGTAAACATAAAATATATGTCATCAGACACAACACAGACTCATTTTTATATACAGTCTTATTTCCGTGCAAACAAGCTTGATATTCACTTTCATATATCAAAGTACAAATCTGAGTCAAAGCCTTGAAAAAGACATAATTCATCGACATTTTGCATTTGTACCCCAGAGAAGGGGGGAGGGGGGAACCAGAGCGCTCACCCTGAGCCCACTACCCGCATGTAAACTGGCGGAGAGTGCAAGGACCCAGAACTGTCCCTGCCACTCACACCGTGGGTCCTGGCCATCTCCTAGCACCTTTTTCTATGTGAGATTAACAGGGATTCAGGATGAGATTCAGAACGCTGAGGGTTTGCTCCCAACCACGTTCAGGACTTCCACCAGGCTGCCACACCTGACAATTTCTATGGGAGAGCGACACCTTTTCCCCGTCTCAAGTCTTTCTTGAGAAGAACAAACAAGTCCTCAGAGGCTGCTGGGGGCCCCCCGACCTGGGTGTCCTCTCCCCTGGAGCACAGATGAGCCCCCCACCCGCAGGTCAGGAAGGAGGGACAGTGAGCAGCTGGTACAGACGCCTCCACACCAGAGGGGCAGAAGCCATGGAAACCCCATTCCTCTGCTAGACTGGCCCTTGGCCACCGCACCATATAACACAGCACAGCAGCAAACGTGAGGCTGTGCGGTCCCCCAAGACAACCTGGCCAGCACCTCCTGATACTGCCTGTCAGCGGGCGCTTTGGAACAGCCCTCGAGCTCAGGAAAACCCTGCTGGGCGCCAGGACAGGGCTCCACTCCGTCCCTCTAAGGACAGTTTCACGTGCTCTGGATTCAGGCTGAGCAGCAGACAATCACCAGGCCTGCAGCACAGGTCACCGCCATGACACTCTTAACCTCCAGAAAGAGCAGCTCCGAGAGCTGTGAGAGCCCTGAGACGGCCTGAACTCTGAGCGGCCACTGCCGCCTTCACTAAAGACCAGAACCATCTGCCTCAGATTCAACCCGACAGCCACAGGGGAAGGCTGTGGTCAGGAGCTGTGGTCAGGAGCTGTGGTCAGGAGCTGCGGGAGTCTGCAGGCTCAGCAGAGCGCAGGTGCACTGACCACAGAGCTGCTGCCCACCTGTTTGGCTGCAGGGTGCTGACTGAGCACCACCCGCTCAGCTGAGCCTGAGCCAGAATTTCTGCTGAGGAAGAAAAATATGGGCTGGGAGGCAGGGGAATGGGGGGTGGTGAGGGGCCCGATCCTGCATCCTGCAGCCCAACCCAGTCTCTGGACTCTCTGACCAGGAAAGTATGCCTTAAATAAAACCAGACACAACTCACCCTGTCGTTAACAACTAACACTGCCACCTTCAGAAAGCAGAATGACAGTTTCTTTCAGGAAGGGAGCCCCACCCCATAGCTTAGCTGAGCAGTTAGAAAAGTTTTTCCCTCATCCATTCTTCTTTCAAAAACGACATGTTACCTCTGAACTCATCCTGCAGCTAAGGGAACTAAAGGACTAATCTCTGTCTGTGATTAGAAGACAGAAAATGGAAGCCAGAAAATCCAGATTGGATAATTTTTTCTGCACCTGTTCTGAAGGTCAGGATAATGGGCTGAAGTTCTTTCTATTTTGAAAAATGAAGTGTGTGGTAGGTAGGATCCCAGAAACTTGGCTCATAGTGTGATTGTTACCTCCTGTCGAGAGGGGGCAAAATTGTGACATATGCAGTCAAGAGGAGAAATGAAGAATGTCCATACGCTTCTGCCCCTTTCAATGCTTTATTCACTCAAATTACTCAATATAATTTCACTCTGTAGGTTCTTAATCAAGAAAATGACAATCCTTAATGCTAGGCACTGCGATAGACATAATCCATTCACAGTAAACAAATCTAGATTAATTAATTCACAGCAAACAATTCTAGATTAATTCTAAGCACTGCAAAACACAATTATGACAGGCTTATGACAGACATTCCCTCTCCATGCTAAGTTCAAAAGTCTCAAGCCTTAGGATTTATGTCCAGCAGATGCAAACTCACTTAGACCGCGGTGACCAGGTCCAGAACCAAGGCAGGCTTTTCCTGGTGTGGAGTCGAAGACTGGTTGAGCAGAGAGTCATAGGGAGAAGCTGCGACTCTCACCAAGGTCCAGGTAGAGTTTGAGAGCAGTGAGGATCACGCAGAGAATCAGGAAATGATGACAAGTGCTGGGATGTCAGTCCAGGTTTTCATCAGGCTCTCTAGCTCAAGTGCATCCTTGTTTCGGCTGGCTGAATCCCTATGTATCCGTTCTATTATTTATACTGAATTTGGGGGCTTTTGACCCCACTTTCAGTCTTGATCAGCTACCACCAGATTTCTCCATGACATCATTTACTCTGGGGTCAGAAACATCTGGTCTGGTGGTCTCTATCCTGATCTTCTTGCCTTTCCCTCGGGACAGCCTGCCAGAGGCTTCACTCTGTTTATCAGGGTGAGGGGAAGTAACTTGTTTGAGGCCATACTGGAGGGCTCTGTGGGTGTGCCTGGTGAGACTGCAGGTTTCAAACTGGAGTTTTTAAAATGGAGTTGCTTAGGCTCAGGCCTAAGTCAATCCTAATACCTCCAAAAGATTTCATGTGTATCAACTGCAAGGAAATCTATCACCTTGGCATTCAGATGTATTGATTGGGGTTTGGATTTTAATAGATTACTGCATTTGTATTTTCTATTTCTTTTCTTTCTCCTTCTCCTCCCCCCTTCCTCTTCCTCTTTCTTCTTCTTTTCATTGGTACCAGGAATTATACTTGGGGGCACTTAACCACTGAGCCACATCCCCAGCCCTTTTTATTTCTTATTTTTATTCAGAGCCTTGCTAAGTTGTTTAGGGTCTTGTTAAGTTGCTGAGGCTGGCTTTTGGATTTGCAATGTTCTGCCTCAGCCTCCCAAGTCCCTGGGATTACAGGCATGTGCTACTACACCAAGATCTATTTCTTCTTTGATAATCAATGGTCTCTACCACTTACATCTTCAACTTTCTTGATGAAAAAGCCTACACCTAAATCAGTTTCTCTGGGGCTGGGGTTATAGTTCAATGGTGGAGCATTTGCCTAGCATGCATGGTGCCCTCATTCCAATCCTAGTGCCAAAAAAAAAAAAAAAAAAAAAAATCAAGTTCCTTCTCTGCTTTTTCTTTTTTCCCTGATCTTCACCTCTCAAGTCCTCACTGCCTCAATTGCTCCTTGATGCTTTTAAACAGATTAAATTTTGCCTACTTTTCTATATAATTTTTCTCTTGGAAAAAATATATAGAGAGACCCTCATTGTTATACCAAATTACATATAAGAGGAAATGAGGGGAAAGGGAAAAAAAACAAGGGGGGAAATGAATTACAGTAGATGGGGTAGAGAGAGGTGATGGGAGGGGAGGGGAAGGGAGGGGGGATAGTAGAGGATAGGAAAGGCAACAGAATACAACAGACACTAGTATGGCAGTATGTAAAAACGTGGATGTGTAACCGATGTGATTCTGCAATCTGTATACAGGGTAAAAATGGGAGTTCATAACCCACTTGAATCAAATGTATGAAATATGATATGTCAAGAGCTTTGTAATGTTTTGAACAAATAATAATAATTAAATATATATATATATATAGAGAGAGAGAGAGAGAAATATATATATATATATATATATATATATATATATATAGTCTGCAACAGCCATGATACTAGTGTTAGAAACAGAAGTTGTTTTCCATTCACTTTTTTAAAAAATGTTTTTCTTACTTGTTGATAGATCTTTATTTTATTTATTTATACGTGGTGCTGAGAATCGAACCCAGTGCCTCACACATGCCAGGCAAGTGCGCTACCACTGAGCCGCAGCCCCAGCCCTGCCATTCACTTTTAACAAACAGGAAGACAAAGGGGAAAAGAGGTTCAGTTCAATTCTTACAAATATAATTTTGGAGATATAAAATTTAAAATTCCATGCTCCTCAAATGTGAAGGATGAATATTATATATAGGTAAGTTCTCTGACAATAATGTATTTCAATTAGAAAGTAATGAAAACAATACTGACTTTCTCCAGTATTTGAAATTTAAGAAGCATACCTCAGATGTACTCATGGGTTTGCTATAAGGAAAATGGTTAAGAAGTTGGCACACACTGGCTGCTCCTTGATGTTTTTTAGTGAGATACCACAATAAATGGATGATCCCAAGCTAGCATTGGTCTATTTGTAGGCATAGGCGAAAAGAAAGAAAATTGCTAGGAAGGGCATGCTTACCTGTGTCCTGCAAAGAAAAATGACTGAGTCCAGGTTGGAAAAGCCAATGGCTTCTGTAACTAAGGAGTGGGAAGCAAAGGCAATTTCTTACAGTGGGTTTTGTTTGTTGTAGTACTGAGGATTGAATCCAGGGCCTGCTAGGCAAGTGCTCCACACTGAGCTACATTCCCAGTCCATTTTCTTTTATTTTATTGCTTTGCTTTATTATATTGTATTTTATTCTATTGTTTTGTTATAGGTATTTTTGTCTTGTTTTGTTTTATTGTATTGATTTAGTTTATATTTTATTTTATTCATTTTTTATTTTATTTTATTTTTGAGACAAGTTCTCACTAATTTCCCCAGGCTGGCCTCAAATTTGTAATTCCCCTGCCTCGGACTTCTTATTCACTGGGATTACAGTTGTGCATCAACACCATGCTAATAGGTAATAATCTCACAAAAGTGAAAATGAATAAGACTTTGGCCCTATCTCTGAGAGATTTTTCTAAAGCACTTAATACACCCACTCAGTCCTAAATGTGAGGAAAGGAGAAGATAGACAGGTCAAATCACACCATTTATTACTAAAAAATGTTGTATATATTTTCAAAAGGACCACACCTCAATGACTGCCATTCTCTGTCAGAATAAGAAGGACATGACGAGAATGGTTTCTGCTGTGCAAGCTCACGTAAGCGCTGGGAAGGTGTACGTGAGGGTTGTTAGTACAGAGAAGATCTGAAGGTCTCAGTTCTCCTGATGTTTGCACCTGTTCTCTTGGAGGTGAAATTATGTTAAAATTTGACCCAATCCTAATGGTGCAACTTTCCAGCAATCTGTCTGTATCTTTTTCAGGTGATTTTCCAAAGATGTTTACAATTATATTTAATGTACCAAAGTAATTTTAATTTTCATCAAGAGCCATAAATCTCAAAGCCCTACCTTCTACCCAATGCTGATTATCAAAAACATTGACCTTTCAATAAATGTGGATGGAACTGGGACATACTGGAAGACAGCACTCCATCACAGAGGTCTCAGCCATGCTGGGAAGGCAATATTCATAGAGAAAGTCACATCTACAAGCACCCTGCTTGTGTCATTCTTCTGTGGCTAGGCCTGACATCCAGAGCACGTTCTTTGATCATAACATTCTTCTGTGGTGACACGTCTCTTCCCATTCTTTAGGAACCCTGATCCATCCATGTCAATTGGACAGGAATGAAGCTCCTTCTCATCCCAGACTCACTGATATGACCTGAGCCTGGCAATGAGCAGTCACCTCTGGATAGGATTGGCTCACGGACGGAAATACAACCCAAGCTGGACATCCTACTCATTGCTGGGAATTTTGCTGGGTTACTGAAAATGGTCCTTTTCTTCTCTACTGTAATAAACCATAACAACTATGTAAGTCTGGAGCTGCTGGAAACTTATTATTCCTCCCGCACGGAGAGAGCCTCTCAGAGAATGAGGTCAAACCCCAGAGGATTCAAGACAAGATATGGGGTGGGGAGATGAGAGGGAGAAAAAGACCCCCCCCCCCAGAGAATAATATTGGTGACAACGTTGAACCACTGGATCTAACAACCATGTCAGGCCTTTCCCTGGGCGGCCAAGATAAATTTAATTTTGGCTTAAAGTACTTTGAGTTTTATTTATATTCACTGTGTCTATCTTGCTTGGAAGACTTTGCCAAGCAAATCTCAAGGATGATGCCCCTGTGCCCGACATAAACTACACTTCCATCAACGGGGGATGAAGGGAAGGGGCACAGGGCTGGGACAGGGCACTGCAGGTGAAAAAGCACTTGTGGACAGCCTGATCCAACAGTGTGGGGAGAGTGTATAAAAACCAGCACAAGCCAGAATCCAAATACAACAGCATTAATCCTCATAGTCACACGTCTGTTAGTTCCTACCTTCTGCACAATTCATTTTCCAAAATAGAAAGAACTTCAGGCCATTATCCTGACCTTCAGAATGGGTGCAGAAAAAAAAATTATCCAATCTGTCTTCTAATTACAGATGGAGATTATTCCAGGAACTTCTAGATCATGACACACGTAAGAAGGCAGGGAGCAAGAGAGCCAGAAACACCCAAACTTTCTTAGGACAAGTGGGAACAACTCAGGAAACAAACATTTTCCTTTATGTTGAAAATTAATTGTCACTGCTACGATCCCCAGATGAACTGACAGTCTGGGAGTACCCAGCGCAGGACTTGACACAATACAGAACCAGCCTCAGTGCCCCTGGAGGCCCTTGTCTATGACACTGGCTTAATGAAGCCATAATCCATGCACTTGATGAGACACTCCCGGGCCGTCTGAACCACAGCCGCCTTCTTCTCGTCCGGCTCCTGTTTGCCCACCACGGTCAGGATCTCCAGCAGCTCGCTCTCCACCAGCTTCTTGGCCAGCTCAGCATCGGCTGCCAGCAGGTTATAGGCGATGACCAGGCCCCGGTGTTGGACTGACAGCTGGTCATGCAGGCAAAGCCGCTGCAGGATCTCCAACCACTGGGATGTCTGGAGAGGGCCGAAAAGGGAAGGAAGGAGTCGAGGAATCAGGAGGGAGACAGAGAGAGGAGATTTGGGGACAAGATAAGTAGAAAGCATTGGCCACACTTACAGCCAAGTAACTTAGCTATGGCCACACATCTGGAAATACAGAGGATTAACATCCTCCATCTATTCACATCTTAAGAAACTTGAGAGTAAAGACATAGGCCCACTGCATGTCTGAGCAGAATGGGGATGTGGAGTGGTCAGAAATGAGAATTCTTGGGCTGGGGATATAGCTCCGTTGGTAAAGGGCTTGCCTTCCAAGCACAAGGCCCTGGGTTCAATTCCCAGCACCACAAAAAAAAAAAAAAAAGAAAGAAAAGAAAAGAAAGAAAGTAAAGAAATAAGATTTCTCAATCTGTGTTCATGGGCAATGCCTTCTTCTGCCAAGCCAAGTGCCTTTCACACTACAGCTCCATGCAGGGAGGCATGGCTTTTCCTAGAATCAACACCAGAGTCTGGAGTGAATCCTCTCCTCCATTCTTCCTCAATCCACCATCCACAGTAATGAAGATGTCCAATTACTGTGCATGGGGGAGCAGGACTCTAGACCACTCTGATCACCCTAGGAGACAGTGATAAAGTCTAGAGTAGAACCAGGAGACTGATTCCTTTAGCCTTCAATAGACACACCCCAGGCAGCAGAGCAGAATAGGCATCACATTGGCATGGGTTCTGCAGTCAGAGAATTGGTGTTCCGGTCCTAGCTCAGCATTTATACCATCTACATGACCTCGGTTAGGCTATTCACCTTCTCTAAGCTTCAGGAGCCTCCCCTGTCTTCTGCTCCACCTTCCTCTAACATCATGCTGAGTAATGAGATGATTCATGGAAAGAGCTTAGCACAGGGGCTCAACAAGCCCTGGTGACCTGACACCAATCCAGAGGTTTTCATCTGGGCTCCCTCATGCCTTCATCCACCCTTCGTCTGCAGGGATCCCTTCCTGCATGTGCTGCTCTCAGATAGGGAGATGGAGGCAGAGAGAGGAAAAGACAAGTACCTGCCTTTCAAGCTTCTAAGCACACTTTTTGACACACTACACTAGGTCTTCTGCCCCAGGAAAGAAAATGAAAGCCCTCTAACTGTGGAAGGTTCAAGGACAGTTTCTATGCTGATGAACATCTGCTAATGGGTCCCCCTGGGATGTTGCTGGGGGATCAAAGGAAAGGATGACAGAAATTCAATCAGAATCCCAGGCAGAAGGATCTGCAGCCTGGCTTCCCTGGGCACAGCCCAGCTGCTGTGAGACCATAGAGATGCCCAGGATTCAATAGGCCCCAGAGTTGTAACAAAGATGGGCCAGGGAAGTCTCATGAGTCCCCCAGCATGTCCATGATGGGACAAGAAGATGGCCAAGAATACTGATCCCCTCGGGAAGAATGAAGAAGTGCCAGGGGTAGGCTGGCAATCCCGAAGGACTCCAGTCCTTCCTAACTAACTGTGCTCTTGGGCTCGTTACGTTCTGTACCTCAGTTTCCTCGTCCAGAAATTAAAGGTAATAATAATACTCACATTACAGAGTTGTTGGGAGGAATAAATGATGCACCTATGTAAAGGCTCAGAGTGACACCTGGCATACAGTAAGTGCCAGGAGACAGACAGCATCCATGGGTATTCCACAGGTGTTCCAGCAGAAGCTTCTCTAATGCAATGGCTTTGAAGTGTGGTCCACAGACCAGAAGCTTCCCAACCCCAATCAACTGAATCAGAACACCTGGGGAAACTGTTTTCACAAGCTGTCCAGGTGATTTTGACACACATTACAGTTTTGAGAGGTTTGCTGTAGGGAAAGAGACTGAAACCCAAAGACCATGCCAATGAGCTACCTCCAGCAGAGAACCTCTGGTGCCACCAGAGCTTAAGCCCTTTAGAACATAGAGAAACACACAGACACACACACACACCTGCACCCATGCACGCACACACATACACACATACCTTAAATCATCTATTTGAAACGCCTGCCTCACCCAGACGTGAGTACACATGACATGAGACGTTCACGTTTTTCACCACCAGCGGGCATGAGTGCACAGGCTCAGTTTGGTCAAACAAGGAGAGCTGCATTTTGCATCCATCTTTGTGTCCACATCAGTCCCATCACACCTGCTGTGGTGGCCCCAGTCCCATCTTAGGAGCTGCTCATCGTAGCCACTTTAGGGAACCTGCAGCCTTTTCACCAAACCATAAGCTCCCTGCAGCAGCCCAACTACTCCCATGCTTCTCTGGGGAGCTCAGGAGCCCAGCAGCAGTGAGCATTGCTGGTATTATTGTTATTTTTTTTTTTTCAGTTCTGGGGATCTAACCCAGGGCCTTAAGCATGCTGGGCGAGTGCTCTACGCTGAGCTATACCGCCAGTCCATTTATTTTTATTAATTTGGAGACAGGGTCTTACAAAGTTGCCAGTGCTGACCTTGAACTTGTGATCATCCTGCTGAGGCAGGAGGCTGAGGCCTCCTGGGTCACTGGAATTATAGGTGTGCACCATGGTGCCCAGCTGTATTGTTGTGTTCTTAAGTAATGACTTGTATGTACCATGGAAGATAATGGATGAAACTACACAGAGGGGATTTAAGCCAGCATATTCAGGAGGTCCACACAATGACCAGAAGAAGGCAAAGGATACAGACCTCCTCTCCTAAGGCAGGAGGAATAGAAATGGGGACTGGTAGGGATTGCCCTGTGGAATGGCCTCCCCAGAGGATTATCTGGGACAGCGTGGGAGATTCTCTGGCGCACGCCCAGCCTCTTCCTGTCCCAGGACCCACACTTACCACTTGGGTCATCTTGATGCACAGTTTCTTGTGCGCTGCTGTCAGCATGGCCAGGGCTCCAGCGGCCGCATTCTGTACCTTGTCATCATCCTCCCCACAGAGCAGGACCACCAGCTTCAGCCGGTCATTCCCATCCACCAGGAACCTCTCCTGAACCTGTGGGAGGCAGCTGCAGGGTTCAGAGACAAATGCCCCCCACCTGTGCCTGCTGGGGTGAGGCAGGGGAAGCAGGAAGGGGGCTTGCATCTAAGTTCTCTGACCCAGGATTCCTGGGAGTTTTCCTCCTTCTTCCATCAGCTTGCCCATGCCGCCTCCCCCTGGAAGCCTTCCCTGATTGGTTGGGTGAAATTCCTCCAATTAAAAGGTCAAAGAGAATAAGGGATCCCCCCCACACCCAGCAGGCTGCACCACCTCTGCATTCAACTTGGCACCAGCAAAAGAGGCAGGCAGGACTGCTGGAGGGGCTGATGCCCAAGGAACCTGCTTCATTTCCCCTTGGGAAAGCTTGGAATGATTCTCCCAAGGACTGGGCCTTCCAGGTTTGCTACACAATGAAGTCCCATGTCTGTCCTCTCTGGATGGCTAATAGGCCCTGGTTTCATATCCTGCTTTGCTATGATAATATTCAGGCCTAAGAAGATTGGGAAAATGGTACCTTGCACCTCATCCCGCACAAGCTTTGGAGTGAAAAACCCAGCCTGGAATAACAGGATGTTGTGAATATGGGAAACCTACCGAGCCCGTCTATGTGCTCTCCACAGGGTAGTTGCCCGTAGATCCTTCCAGCTCTTCTGCTTTCTGTTTCCTGCACCCTGGTACCTTGCACTCTCAGCGCGACTCACACACAGAATTTTCTAGATCCCGCCTTCTATCGGGCTCATGATGCTCCAGGACGTGAGGGCACTATGCTCAATTGCACAATTGTCATTTGATTTGTCAAATTCGAAGAAGTATCTCCCTGTAGCAGGGTGACTCAGTATTTCCAAACTTTACTCCCATTCGCAGGTCACTTGCTGTCACGCTGCTTAAAATCCCAGGTACCTCCAGCAACAGGGAGGACAGCTGTCAATGCCTAAACCAAGGGGCAAGGAGAGGCTCCTCCACAGAAGGCAGAGTCCAATGCCTAGAGCTTGTAGAACAAGGCGCATCATGGGGACATCCTTTCACTGAGAGTCTACTATGGCTCCTTTGGTGCGACACAGCCTACCTGCCTCTTGTTTCCCCTGGCTCTGGTCCACATTATGGGGGTACGTTTCTCTAGCTTAGCACTTCTCAAACCGTTACCAGAAATCACAAGTCACCGGAAAACACAACTTTCAAATGCTCAGAAATACAAATGGCAGTGGAGAGTGTACAAGTCTGAGTTGCCCTCACTGGGGAGCTCCTCCCCAGAGCCCACTGGGACTCAGCTGCAGACTGTTGGAGATAGTCTCTGCTGCACATCTATCCAGGAGGCAAAGCAGACCACCTGTTCACACTCACAACACAGATACTGAGAGCACAGAGCTGGGCCTCATCTCAGTTCTTCCTCACGTCAGTGATAAGAAATGGTTTCACTGAGGTGAAGAAACTCCTCTTCAGGAATTGACTTAAAAAATAGTAGAGCAGGAACTTTCCCAGAGCACAAGGTAACTTCCAAGATGTAAGCTGACAAATAATAAGTGTATCCATAACAAAGTGGATGGGAGGCACATCATTTCCCTAGGGGCTCCCCAAGTACACAAAATTCATACAACTTTTAAATCCTGTTATAATGACCTCTGGAGTAGCGAGGAGACAGCACTCATGGAGTACATTTAAGGCCTAAAGAAGAACAGAAGTACGAGAGTGTGCACACTCCTACCTACTCAGAGAATGCTAACAGGAGCATACAAACCCCTGTGTGCTGCTCCCAAAACATACCTCATTCTTTCTTCCCTCAGAGGTAAGACACCTCACAAATTTCTCATTTAACATTCCCCTGTTTTTCTGTATAGTTTCACCATATTTTAAAACACATGAGGTTTGATTTCACATGATTTTAAATGGCAGCTCATAAAAATGAAATTGTACTTTGCATTGGTTGTAAACTCTCCGTTGTTCCTTGACTTTCTTCTCACAAAGGCAGCATCTAAATCCCTTCCCCTTGAACGTGTGCCAATCTTGGTATCCTGCTTGTAACCAAGAGAGTCAGGCATCAGTCACGCTGTGTCACTTCCAAGGGTTGATTTGAAAAGACAGTAGAGCTACCCCCAAGGCCTCTGCAGGATTTTGTGTGTGTGTGTGTGTGTGTGTTGTGCATGTGTGTTGGCAGGGAGGACAACTAAGGACCCCCCAGCTGTTGATGTCTCTCCATCATCAACCACACACAGGTAAAGGAGTCTTTGGATGATTCCAGCCCCATTGGTCAAGCTGTTCCCACCAAAAGTGAAGGCAGCAGAAACAAGGCTTCCCCACTGTGCTCTCTGCATCTTTTCCAGACCCTCAGGATCCCTGAGTATAATAATTTTTTAATCCATGAGTTAAAACTATTTTTAAATTCTGGCACATATGAAAACTTTGTATTTACCATTTCATTAACAAGTTTCTAAGGTATTTCCATTGGTGGGTCTAAGAATAGAGCTAGTATAAGATCTGTCCTGGGAACTCTGTTGAATATTTTGTAATTAGAGAAATTCCCAAATATCAGTGCTATGAAGCAAAACCTCCCCTACAAGATAATCATAATTACAAATGGGATACTATTAATTTGCCAGTGGGTACACAAACCATAGATCATCTTATCAAAGTAATCAAAGTTAATATCAGTAATTGAATGAATCAAAATCACATTCATTCTGATGTGATACACTGAGGTGCGTGGTATTCTTGCTAAGCATGCATAAGCTGAATATAAACATAAGGAACCATGAGATGACCCACAGAAATTGATAAATTGCAAAACAATGGACCCATGCCCTCAACAGTATTTATATATTATGAGAGATAAAGACTGAAGGAGGATTCCACATTAAGTCAGACTAAAAGGAATGAAAGGCAAATGCCAGGTGTAATCCTAGGTAGAATCTTGGAGAAAAATCTGTTCTGCTTCTTGCCACGAAGACATTTGTGTGTCAATCAATACAATTTACCAAAGGTACTTTAGGTAGTAGTACTGGATCAGTGTTAACATCCTGATATTGATCGTTGTCCTGTGAACACCCTTAATTTTAGGAAACAACCACTAAAGTTTTGAAAGTTAAAGGGATGTGATAAGTTAAATGTGTCCCCTAAGGTCCCTGTGTTGGAAACTCCCCAATCAACAGTGTTGAGAGAAGGGACTTTTGAGAGGTGATTAAGAAGACCATAATGTCCCCATTATTTTAGGAGTGGTGCCTTATAAAAGGATGCATCTGGTCACTATTTAAGGTATGGTCAGCCTGACTCAATTTGCACTTGCCAAGAATCCTCAGGCCAAGAAGTTCCCCTCAATGCATTTCCCTTGGTGAGGAGACCTGAGATCCTGCCACAGCCATCTCTTCTCCTTCAACCCATCTCACCTGGGAAGGGCACGATGTCACAGATGCTTCAGCTGTGCCTGCCTCCCTACCCCACACCCCTCTGTGGCCCTCCACAGCTCCAGGAATGCAGAAGCGGTGTCTGCCCCACCCATTTTCCCCAGAGTTGAAGACCAGACTGGAATCTCGTCTTCAGCCGCCGATAGGGGGTGCTGCCCTCGCCGTTCACTAACAACTGACCAGACCCGCCAAGATGGGGGAAAATCCAAAGCTCCCAGAGCAAAAGAAACCAGATAAACTCCTTTGCGGAGTGGGGGTGGGAAGTTCTCATTCAACATCTGCCGCGCCACTGGGAGCATCTTCAAATTTCCCGCGCAAGAAACCTGGGCACTCGGGTTGGTCATTAGATTCCGCCCTTTGCAGGGTGGGGGAATGAAGTCCCCTGGGAGCCAGAAGTTGTCACCACCCGGAGGGGAGCTCCTCAGAACTAAGGACGCCCCCGGGTGCCCGAAAAACACGTCCCACTCACCAGGTAGAGTCAACCCAGGGAGAACTAGTTAAGAATGATTCCTTTTTACTCTGAAATGTTACAGACGTACGAAAAGGTACTCTACGCCGGTGCCTCCAGGATCCCGCTGAGGAAGAGAAAGGCTCCTGCAACTGGGGCGTCCTGGGGGCTCCTCCCCTCCTCCCGTCTCCGCCCTCCCCTTTCCCTCTTGTGGCTCCCCTACCTCCCATGTCCCTCCCTCCCCCACCAGACCGCCTCCCCTTCTTCCTGGCAGGAGCCAGCAGAAGCTAGAGTCTGGGTCCTGCCCCACAACCACGGGGCATTTGCAGTGACTGTCTGGTGTCGCTGTGCAGGTGGGGGACCCAGGTTTGCTGCCCTCGCCAGGTCTGGGAGAGTTCAGAGCTTGTGTTTCTTCCCTGCTGGTTGAAAGCAGGACTCTGCCTTCAGGTCTCCTCTCTGCACCCTCTCCAGGTCTTCAGCTGAAGGGGCTGAGTGATTCTGGGTAACAGGTGCTGGAGATCACCCTTCCCCATCTGCAAAAAGTTACTGAAACCGCAAAAGGTTTCATCATTTAGTCAGAGAAATAGGACGGCTTCAAATTTCACTCTGACGGAATAAGCAGAATAACTCTGTAGGCCCAGGTACTTGGCCATTTCCTGAGGTTATCATCACATATGACTGCACATAGGGTGTGACACTACATCGTGTACAACCAGGGAAATGAAAAGTTGTGCTGCAATTGTGTACGATGAATCAAAATGCATTTTCGGATGTCATATGTACCTAATTAAAATTAATTAATTAATTAATTTTTAAAAGAAAAGGTCTATGTAAGCTTTTTCTTTCCTTGTGTGGACGCTGCCCCGCCCCCTTCGCCTCCAGTTCTCTGTCTTCTTGAGACCAAACACCATGCCTTCAATTACATTGCAGAGCTCTGATGGGGAGATATTTGAAGTTGATATAGAAATTGCCAAACAATCTGTGACAATCAAGACCATGTTGGAAAATTTGGGAACGGATGATGAAGGTGATGATGACCAGTTCCTCTACCAAATGTTAATGCAGCAATATTTTAAAAAGTCATTCAGTGGTGCACACACCAAAAGGATGACCCTCCTCCTCCTGAGGATGATGAGAACAAAGAAAAGCAAACAGAATATATCCCTGTTTGGGACTAAGAATTCCTGAAACTTGACCAGGAACACTTTTTGAACTTCTGGCTGCAAACTACTTAGACATCAACAGTTTGCTTGATGCTCCATGCAAGACTGTTGCCCACATGATCAAGGGGAAAACTTGGAGATTTGCAAAAACTTCAATATCAAAAACAACTGAAGAGGAGGAAGCCCAGGTACTCAAAGAGAACCAGTGGTGTGAAGAGAAGTGAAATGCTGGACCTGACACTGTAATACTATAAGGATTGTTCCAAATACTAGTTGCACTTCTCTGTTTATAATTGTTAGTACTAGACAAACAGAAGAAATGCAGAAGCAAATCAGTTGTATTAGCATAAAACTGTCCTTACTGCATGTGTGGTTTGAGTACAGACTCCAAACCTATGGCTGAATTTCTTCTAGTGTGAGAGAAAGTTTCTTTCTTTCTTTATTCTGAATACAAGGGAACTGTGTGTTCTCTGTAGAAAGGGGCATTTTGGGCTTTCCCTCCTTTTGTAAAGCAATTTCTGCCTAGTTTATTGTCCAGTTAACTTGAGTGAGCTTTGAAAAGTTGGCAAAAGAATTTCTGAAATGGAATTAACAAAATATTATCTTTATTCATGAGTTGGAAACTGGAAAAAGGCTACTTGAAAGTAAATGTTCTGAGTTGGGGTTCTTAGGATGTCTTCCAGCCTCCTGGAGTCAATCAGTACCACTGGGATTGATTAGCCTGTATGTAGCAGGGCTTCCTTAATTGGACCAGAGAACTTGTTTTTTTTTTTTTTCCCAAGCAGGAACAAACTTTATTACCGAACTCACACGAACGCCACCCACACGGCCCTTCCAGGAAACTCCACCCCACCCGGAACTCTCGAACTTGGGTTTTTTTTTTTTTCTTGAATGTCAGCTTTGAATATGTTGCCTAGAGACTCAGTTATTACCCAGTTTGTGGATTTGGAGGGGAGAAATGTAACTAGACATTTGGATAGCTTTTCAATTAAAAAAAGACACTTAATTCATGGGGTCTGTCATCTTTTAAAAAACTATGTTCCCATATGGGGGAAACTCTTCATACTCTTTGCATGTAAAAAGTAACTTTAACATTGAAATATGTGGCAAAACCCAGAAAACATTCATCATGAGTGCAAGGTACTTTCAATAAAAAGTAAGTTATGTAATAGTAGTTTACAGATTTTATCCTTCCCTACTATGCTCCCCTTTTCTTTCCTAGTTATCATTATCTGTATTCATCTGTAATTTTATTGTATTTTCTTTACACTTCCTGTGAGTTGTTCTGGTGAAGGTTATCGTGATAGTAGCTTGCTTTCACTTCTTCTCCCATTTGTCCCAAATTCATCTTGCCTAATAATATCCCATATGTAATCTCAAAAAAAAATTTTAAAAACTATGTAAACCAATGGTAGTCATTCCACCTTCGCTCTGCTCTGGAAGGCCTTGTTTGGGGTCGTCTATTGGCATATTTATTGTAGGTAATACACCCATGTGACCTCATAGCTTCCTGGGGCTATTTTGGAAATTCCTAAGCAATGCAAAAGTCTTGAAAGTGTCTTCTTTGCATCTTCATTCACACCTTGAAGCATCACAGAGAAGATAACTACTTTGTGGAGCCTGCATTCAGGGAACAATTTTCACAAAGGCAATACCTTAATTAGAAGCTTCCCGGTTGATTTTTTCCTATTCATCCTACCACATAATAACACAGCCTTCCAAAACATCCTTCAAAGTCTTGATAGAGAGTCATAAATTATTTAAGTACTACACATTTCTGGCTGAAATTTAATTTGAATGTCTTTTTATTTATTTATTTATTTTGGTAGTGGATATTGAACTCATGGGATGTTTTAATCACTGAACCACACCCCAGCCCATTTTATTTCTTTTATATTCTATTAGAAATTTATGGTTATACACAGTAGTTGGTTTTGTCCCAGAGACTCATATACACATGGAAATTGATTTCAGTTCATGATCCTTCCTGTTTCCTCTCCCTTTTCCCTTCTGGGCTACCCTCTCCTTTTCTGTTTTTTATTTTGATAAAGGGTCAGGGTGTCGCTAAGTTGCTTAGGGCCTTGTTAAGTTGCTGAGTCTGGCTCTGATTGCAATCCTCCTGCCTCAGCCTCCTGGGTGGCTGGGATTATAGGCCTGAACCACCACCAGGCTGAATCTCTTACCTCTTTATCAGCACCAGGACCACACTCCCAAAAACATGTTCCCATTTCTCAAACCCAAAACACTTTTAAAGAGAGAAATGGCTTATATTTGAGAGATGAAATATTATTTACATTTAGTTAGATTGTCATGTTTATATGTTTTTCTACTCTGATTTTGCATTTACTTTTGAGTAAAGATTTTCTCTTTTGTAATGTTTTTAACCAGAAAGCATCATGAGATTCAGAGTTCTGAAGAGATTTTTCAGACCAAACAATGCATTTCACAAATCTGTGCAAGTTTTGGAAACTTGTGTCTTTTTCATAACCACTCAGCTTATATATTCTGATTTTCTTCATGCCTGGAAGGTTTCTTAAAGAGTTAGGATGTTTAAAGAATAAGAGGTTGTGTTTTAATTTTTATTTTTTTTCCCATGGGAATCTTGGAAACCCCCACTACTAGATTTATATAAGCACTTAGTAACATGTGGCAATACACATCCATAGAATTGAAGACAAACTAAGACCCTCTAAAGATACGCTGTTGTTCAAAGGACACTGTTCCTATACTTCACCTTGGTATTCTCTACACTTCACAAGGAAGAAACAGCCTTTGCAACGGTGTTACTTCACCATCTTAGAAAGTTTAGGATCCCTATTGGAGGCACAGGTTACCCCAGGTCTCTTCATTCAACCTACCAGCCCACTAGCAGTACAGAAGAGGAAGTCAGTCCATCAGGACTCCAAGTTCATAAGAAGACCTCCACCATCCCTGTGATCAGAACAGTCAGATCAAGCTGATCTACCCTTCCAACCTGGAACACTTACTTAAGGGGTGAGGACACACTCGGTCATCAGGGTTTGATAACTTCAACACTGTTCACATTTGGCTGGAAACTTCTTTGTTGTGGAGTGCTGTATATACTTTATTGGATGCTTAGCAGCATACCTGGCTTTAACCCATCAGGTACCATTAACACTCCCTGTAGTTGTGACAACTAAAAACAACTCTATAGACATTATGTACCTTAAAAGGCAAAATACCCTCCCCCTCTACCTTGTTGAGAACCTCTGCTCTAGTGAAGCATTGAACAATTACTATTATTATTATGAATGTTGTTGTTTATACCAAGGATTGAACCCAGGGCACTTCTCCACTGCCCACATCCCCAGCACTTTTTAAAAATATTTTATTTAGGGCCTTGCTAAATTGCTGAGCTGGCATTGAACTCACAATCCTCCTGCCTCACCCTCCCCGACCACTAGGATTATGGGCGAGTGCTACCACATCTAACCACACTCATTTTAATAATGAGAACACCATGGCTGCTCTACAGAAGTATAATGCAAGATACTTACATCATTTAAAATTTTCCAGTAACCACATTTTTTAAAGAGTATATATAATGATTTGAAAATATAATGATTATGAAATGGTTATAAAATATAATAATTATAAAAACATGATGAAGGGGATATTTTCATTCTCCATACCAAATTATTGAATCCAGTGCAGATTCATGCTCACACCATATCCCAATTTGGACCAACCACACTTGAAGTATTCATCTGCCACCTGTGGTCAGTATGTGCCAGGATGGACAGTACAGCCACATTCAGGGGCAGATGACAAAAGCTTCAAAGTCAGCAGCAACAAAGTAAGCTAACAAGTAGCAACCAGCACAGCCAGTGTCCAGATCCTGGTTTCTGCTACCATTCTCCACTGAAGGATGCAGAGCTCCACGGAGAAATGGATGACCCCGGGGCTGAGGCAGGACCTATGAGATGGGCCTCAGTTGTATCTTATTTAATGCACTCAGAAAGAAATAAGAAATATTTTCCTCCCTATTTTGCTGAAACTAGAGGAGCCTAGGATTTCAAGGAGAGCTCCTAGAATCCTTGAGTAAACACAGATGGGAGAACAACAGGCAGAGAAGCTCAAAGGTTATAACATGGGAATACATTCACAGTAAGTGAAATATTAGTCACGTAATATTCCAAATTCCCATCAGTTATGCAGATATTTTCTGGCTAGTGCTTAGAACAACCTTTCAGAATGTTTGGACCAGAATAAAGCAAATAAATAATTGCATTAACATTGTCAATGATTTTTGTTGTTATTGTGGTTTTTGTTGTCTTTTTCTGGTGCTGGAGCTTTACATTGGGTCTCACAATTGCTAAGCATGCACTCTGCCCCTGAGCTACAATCCCATCCTGTGCTAAGATTTAGTGCCAGTATTTTTAGATGGAAGGCTAACTATATGACTGTAATGATGTTCTTGGTCTGCAATAAGGAAATACCACTGACGGAGTGGCTTCAACTTCAGAAAGTCATTCCCCATAGTTCTGGTGGCTGGGAAGTCCAAGATCAAGGTGGGTTTCACCCTGTGCTTCCTCTATTGGCCTGCAGGTTTCTGCCCTCTGTGTGCTCAGAGGACCTCTTGTCTGTGCACACAGGAAGAAGAAGCAAGTTCTCTGGCATCTCTTCTTCTAAGGACACTATCCTATAGATCAGGGTCTTGCCCACATGGCCTCATTTAACCTGATTTAATTCCATGATGGCCCCATCTGCACACTGGGCACTAGGGCTGTCACATGCGAATGTGAGAGTGAGGACATACAAACATTCAGCTCACTATGCTATGAAAGAGAAGGACAATCACAGTTTAAGGATGAGTCAATACTTTTATTCTTCCCTCCCTACTTATGTATAATGTGTCAAAATACACTCTACTGTCCTATACAACTAAAAATAACAAATGAAAAATTCTTAATAAAAATGGTAAAAAAAAAAGATCGAATTAATACTTCAGTAGCTATGTTATACATTAGTAAGTAGAACTGAGATGAGAATTCGTCATTTCAAGGCTATTGATGTTGGGATGTGTCCACGTGAGTCTAACCCAGGACCAGAGGCATGCTTGGTAAGAACCTACCACAAAGTGACATCCCCAGAAGACTTGTAGATTTTAAAAGACTTTCTTTCCTATTCCTGTTCCTTAGGAGCTTATACACACCTGTAGAATCTGATTCTGTTCCATAATACAATCTCCTGTTGAAATCCAGAAAAAAAAAAAGAGGTGTGTATGTGTGCTTTCTCTTGGTCTAAAATTTCTCTGAAAAAGGGCAACTGAAGTACCTTACATATCCATACCAGTGCTCTTTGTTCTGCCAAAATGCTTGAGATAATTCAGTGACTGAATTATCTCGGGAATCTTCCATGTCCTGAATCAATAGAGCAAAGACAAATTTCAAGAATTCAGGAAAAAATGCAGATGCAGTGGCTCACATTTCTAATCTCTCTCTCAATTGGCATAGTTCCTTAGAACCCCGAAGTTGTTCGGCTTTCATAAGCACCTCCAAGGACCCATGGGGGATGTTGCATGGTGGTTTTCTTCTAATGACCTTCATCACTTCTGGTAGGTATTGGGCGACTTCATCTGCATTGGGGATCACTCTGGTGAGCTCTTAGCTACTGGGATGAAAGAGGAGGGAGACCGCTAACATCCAAGCGGCTGGTCTGAAAATGGTTCAGAAAGTTCCAGAGAATTTCTGGACTTCCTTTTCCCTCTGAGTGACGGCTTTTGCCTTCCCATATAAGTCCCCATTTTCAGTGTGGAAATTCTGAGCTTCATCCACAGTGATGTGTTGAATGTCTTCAAAGTCCCTCTTCATGAAGGTTTTCCGGGACACTGCCTCACAGATCCTTTTATTACTGTAACAAGAAAATGACACACTCAGGTTTTCTTCACTTTATAAAGGAGAAAAATCACTCTTTTGTGCTCCCCTGAATATGGTACCGTTGTCACAAATCATTTCACCATGTAATTCTCAAGCAACAAGTTGGCTTAGCAGAAAAATAATCCCTGATTAAATAACACATATAGGTATGAGATCCAGCTGCTTACCAGATGAAGTTCTTCAGAGGCTGGTTGTGGGAGGCCATCCTCGCACGTGATTTGAGTTACCTCCCTGGCTGGGTGAGAGGCACTTAGACACAGCTGTGTCTGAGCCTTCCCCACCCTGTCCCAGGTCTGAGGGCTTGTCAGTGCAGAGGCGTGCCTGGCCACTGCCCTGAAGACCAAATCTTGACCTTGGGATGCTGCCCCCCTTAACCTTCATTGGATGGGATTTTCCCTGGAATTTTTTGTTCCCCAATAAAAGCCCACTCCCTGGCGTGTTCTCCCTCTCTCGCTAGTCTCTTCTGTAAACCTCACCACCGCATTAGGTGGCTGGAGGGGCAGGAGCTAGGAGAAGCCGTCTTGGAGCTGGTATTAAAGCTGGTATTAATGAGAGTCTTGTCTCTTTAATTTTAAACTCCCTAGCAATTACTTATGAACCAAACCTTCTTTCACGAAGCCAGCACTGGTCGCGTGGCAGAGCTGGTTAGCAAATTTAAAATCTCACGGCCAAGCTCAAGACAGAAATGGAGCATCTCAAGACAATCCTGGGTGTCTGCAAGATAACAGGACCAGAGGAATTGTTCCTTCCATGCACTCTGCATGGCTCTCAGATCTCAGGTAGAAGACCCTGGTAATGACACAAACTTTTCCCGTTATTCTGCCCATGTTCACCAGCTTCTACTTCAGGGAAAGAGGAAGTGGGTGCAAGGAGACCTACCCTTCTGCATCCTGCTCCCGGAGGACAATGCAGAGGACGGAGATGCTGCTCAGTGGGATCAGCAGAGAATCCCAGATGACTCCCTGCTTGGCTTGCAAGTCCAGGTCCACAGCCCTGCTTCTAGAGAATTTCAGAATTCCCTGGGAGGAGGATGCATTTGCTGACTTTTTATCCCCTCCGGTCCTTCATGCCAAATTCCAGGAGAATTTGGCACGATATCAGGAACATCCTGGTGGTTCTAGAATGAAAACATCAGAGATTATAAAATGTGTTGGTATTGTTTTGTATCAGTCTCAGTTAACACTTCAAAAAAAGAATAAAGCTCCCGTAATACAACATAAGAGAATTTCCCTCTGGGTCACCTCTCCTCAATCTGTATCCTAAAAATCTGGTGAAAAGAACGATGTTGTTTTTCTATTATCTCATAGAGAGCACTTGTGCCAAATAAATGGAATTTGTTGAGCCCAAGGAAGTGAAAACCAGATATGCAATCACTCTTCAATCTCAGATCCTCGTTGTGGAATGTTTAAACACCTTTTTGTTAAGGACTAGAAAGATTTCAGGTAAATAAAATATTTTCTTGAAGGTGCAACTACAGGAGTCCTAATATTCTAATTACCTGACCCTTGACACAAGTTTGGATATACATAAGACATGCCTATGTCACATGCTGTCGCATCTCACACTGAAAAGGTTCAATATGTGAAGGTAAAAAACACATTTCCCTCCTCAAACATCTACACTTCCTTTTCTAAGTAACAATTCCTAGACAAAATCTAGGTGAAAAAAGTCAGGGGCAGGGGTGGGAAAGGTCATCTAACATTGCACCTGATCTTGAATGATTATATTGTAGTCCATCGGGACCTTGGTGATTTTTCCAAGAGAAATTACTCATGGTCTCTCCTTTCATATTCTATGAGCTGAATGTCTGTACTCTTTCTATAGGTGTATCTCCTATATACCTGAGAAGCTGAGAAGAGGAAGTCAATTAACCCACCATGTCCTCCAGTCTAACGCTCTCCCTACCGTGTCTAAATCAGTGGTTCCAACATGGGAAGAGCATCAGAATCCTTTGAGAAGCTTGCTTACGTGCACATGTTTAGGCCTCATAGCTGGAAGTCATATGTGGACAAGTTCTTGGTGGAGTAGGGACATCTACCTGTGTGTTTAACTACCTCCTCTACCATTTCTGACAATCAGCTGGGTTTTGCAAGCACAAAAATGGATGATTTCTAAAGGCAGCTGAAACTCATTCCCCAACAGGCTTGTGACATTGCCTCTTGATACACCTGGGTTGCAGTACAAATTTTTCATCAATTTATAAATCAATGTTTTAAACTATCTCCCTCTCTCCTAAAGTAAACTGGCAGCTAACACCTGGAAAGAAAATTGAAAATTGGCTTTCTGTTCTAGACCTTTCTTGAAGACAGTAGTCTGCAACATGGAAGACACTGGGACAGACTCAGCTGAGATTCAAAAGTTTCAGACCACCCTGAAAGAAGAAAACATCTCAATTTAGGTGATTTCACCCCTCCTCACTAGAAGAGGCCAGACCAAGGTGTATCTCAATTTCACTTCCCCTGGTGTAATGAAGGCCAGCAGATGAGACTCATCAATCTTTCTTGACCCTACACCCAGGTCCCCAAAGATCCATCATGAAGAGACTTTCTTTTGAATCTCCAGTCCTATTGCCCCACTCAGTATAAAGCTCCCTCTTGTACCTTTGAAGTTCTTTGCTGGAACTGTACTATAACTTAAAGTGCTCTCCTAAAATTCTAATCACAGTGTGTTTTATGGCCTTGCATTTCCTCCAAGCCCTTTGGAAACACCCCTGACCCAGCATTGGCTCTTGCCTCCCAGAGTTGGTCTCCTGCTAGACTGAGGCACAAGCTAGTCATTATTCTGATGCTCCAGCCAACTCCAAGGAAAAGAAGCTAAGAAATGTAGAGTTCAACACGGGATCCCCCTCAGACATTTCCCTCTATTTCTTCTCTTGCGGAAAATCATCATTCACCAAATATTTTATTTGGCTTTTCCTCATCCTCCCAATAAAACTTGTCCATTTATGAAGATCAAGGACATTTGGAGATAGCAAACTGCAGGAGGTAGGAGGAGCTCCAAGTCACAAAGACTAAAGGACCCAGAAGCCACAAAGAGGGAGAAAGGACAAGCAGGGTGGCGCTTTCTCCCTCGTACCTGGATCAGAGTCCATCCTCATTCCTCTCAGTCCTCAGGCTGCAGATGTCCTTCCTCTGAATCACCATTCATGAACTGGGAGGAGAAGAGCTCCAGTCTCATCTCAAAGACATAACCATGCAATTCCCGTGACAGACACTGGTGTTGGTGGGAGGCCTTTTTCTCACTTCTCTCTTCTTGAGTATGAAATTACCTCAGGGTAATGATGAACCCTCAAGGGTCCAAAAGATAGTTGCATTTGCATAACAATTCTCAGCAGATTCACTGTATCCAAAAGAAATACTTCCGACAACGACACATACAAATGTGGACCACTCAGATTGGCAACTGTGTCCACATCAATTTTTTACTGCAGTCACCCGAATTCGATGAAGGATAACCCAAATCTACTGATGAGCCTGATCAAAACCAGGAGAGTCACCGCTGTCTCTAAAACCACCCAAGAACTGGAATCTTTATAATTTTATCCTTCCAATCCCAGATCTACCAGAAAGACTTTCACTTATGGAGGGAGTTTCGCCATTTTTATCTATACGCACAATAATTCTGTAGAAAGTCAACACAACGCTATGGTAATGTACTTTCATGGAGTCCAATTTGCAAAAGTGCAGAAACAAAATTGGACTCTCTAAAAGTCATTACACATCTATATTTCCAGTACTGGAAATGATATGAAGAGAAAATGCTCAAACATAGAAAAAAAAGATTAATTAAACTCATCGTATGACTGTGCATTAAAGGGATACATTGTATGCACGACTGTACTCCAACTCCATAAAATCTGGTTGAACCTCAGGCCTCCAGCTCATTAACGATAGATGATAGATAGATAGATAGATAGATAGATAGATAGATAGATAGATAGATGGGGGTGTACCGGCCATTAAACTCAGGGGCACTCAACTACTGTGCCACATCCCCAGCCCTATTTTGTATTTAGAGACAGGGTCTCACTGAGTTGCTTAGCGCCTCGCTTTTGCTGAGGCTGGCTTTGAACTCACAATCCTCCTGCCTCAGCCTCCCAAGTCACTGGGATAACAGGTGGGTGTCAGCGAGCCTGGTTTACTGTGAAGCACTGACTGCCATGAATGGCTGCTTTTGAGCTTTAGGACTTGGCTCTCCTGAGAGAACACATTGACGTCCATTTCCTTCATGGCACTGCTCCTTTCAAAACTGTTGCATGTTCGATAAATACTGACGCAAGCAATTCCTATGAAATATTCGCAACCTCCGTGCTGTGTTTTGGAGACGTGGAAACCTATCCCACATGCGTTCCCATACAGACCAAGGATTGCAGGAACAATACAGTGACCGGAACAGTAACATGCATAGCGTCTTCTTATCATACGGTGCTGGTGTCCATATTACACAAGTCAGTAACCTCTCTGGCTCCTTCAGGCAAACATGACTTGAACTCAACATAAGCTCCTGGAGTTTCATCATCAGGAGGGAACGTCAGTGCACACCATGACACATTTACATTGAAGTTGTCACTGTTGCCTTGACACACCGCCTTGACCCGTGGCCAGTCACTTCCCCAGAATTCAGCTTCCTGTCCCTCTAAATGACCTCTTTTTTTTCAGGGATTTGTGGTTTTGGGAATTGGAACTTTTTAGAATTTCACCATTGGAGATTTGAGCATTTGGGGATTATGATTTGGGAGATTTTAGAATTCAAGTGTTCCAGACTCGGCATTTTGATCTTTTGGGATTTAAACATTTGCAATGATGGAGTTTGGGATTACGTCTTTCAGGATAATGACCAGCACAGGTCATTATCTTTTACATTCAAACGACAACGTGGCTTGTAAATTTGGTCTGTGTAATGTTTACTTCTTCTCAGAATTCTGAGGGCCTTGCTCCTCTCCTCTCAACTGCGCCTTGCGGGGCTCCCAGCTCTATTCTCTGTTCCAAGGACCCACTGAGCCTCCTGGACGTGGACTCAGAACACCGCAGCCAGGATGTATCTGGCTCCACTGGATTCAGGACAGTCCCTAGCTCATCTTTGATGAGGGAGAAACGCCAAACCCTGGTGCTCCTCTTCTTATGGAAACTCTCCATATCGGTGAGGGTTTCTACTTCCTTCAGCTGCTTTCCCCCAGAGATGAGTGAGAGAGCTTTTGTAGGATTTCATCCACTCACATTCTTTATTCAGAACCATTTGTAGAAAAATAACTTTTCGGGTGAGTATTTAAGGGTGCTACGAGAGTGATCAGGAAAGTTTCGACTCCTCCAAGTGAGCAGAGGTAAAGTAGTCCAAGAAGACCTAAAGAATTCCTGGGGTCTTTCTTTGGGGGAGATGACATTTCCCTTCTTTTTCATTCCCACTGGGGAAATTATGACTTTCATCAACAATGATATTTTCCAAGTTACAAAGTTCTATGAGTAGGTCCTGGACAGTTCTCATTCTTGTTAAGGGTCAGCAGTCTGTCCTGATCCAAAAATGGAACAAAGTCTATCCATGAACCAGGAACCGAGTAAATAACCATCGTGCACAGAATAGTGAACTGATTAAGTTTCCTAATCACCCTTAAGCATAATCTTTTTACATATGTAAAAATCTTTTTACATATGTTCCGAGTCTGGAACACTTGAATTCTAAAATCTCCCAAATCATAATCCCCAAAGGCTCAGGAAGAAGTAAACACAGGCTACATTTATTTTTCCAATTAGGTGAAGTTGCTTTGCTTGCAGCATTTTTGGAGATCATTTTTCAGACTTGGAGATCATCATCCTCTTTATGATGAAAAATTTCTCAGTAGCCCAGTGCACCTTCTATGATTTGGATGAGGCCTTGACACCATTTAAACCTCCTCAGGGAATTTTCCTATAAGCGATCTATATTAATTGAAAATCTCAGAGGCCCACTGCTCACTCACAGACCCGAGTTTCTTTAAGACCATAAAAAGAGCATTCAGCTGGTCTATCATGGTTTCAAATGTTGCAACATAGTAGGACGCAGGATAAAATGCTTTCTCACTTGAATCATAAAAGGCAATTATTTTTCCCTTAGGGTTCAAGCAGAATATCTTCGTCGTGATACATATTTTCTCAGTATAATTACCAAGTTTTGTAAGCATCTGCTTTAAACTTGGGCAGTTTGGGAAGAATACCCCTTTATCTTCTCATCTAGTTCCCTGTGGAGAGTGGAACCATTTTCTAATTCCTCTTCCATCCTGAGGAAGGTGTACAGGACCGGTGGATTGTCCTTGGAAATCAGAAGTGCATCACAGATGACTTCCTCGTTCTTTGGCAAGTGCAGATCCACAGACCAGCTCCTAGAGAAGATCAGTATGCCTTGACCAATGGAGCCCGTCTCCTTCTGTACTAACTGTTCAAGTGCTTCCTCTTGCGAGAACAGTTCCCTGCAGAGGGCTTCTGGAATACATCTCATCTTCTCTGTGAGCACTGGATATGGGGAAAATGATAACAAAGCATAAAAAAGAAAACATTGAGAACATGCCATGGAAACTGTGACTACTGTAGCACCAACCCTCCCACCCGAAACAGCTACGAAGGCTGTACAAAATAGAGCCAACTGTGGCGTCCAGTACTGGAGGGCAAGTGGGACAAGCAGGGCGACAAGGCCGACATGTGTGATAGGAGCACAGGAAGCCGCTGCACACTCCAGCCTGCTTCTCCCTCAGATATTTCCGTGTCGTGGTGTGGGTCCCCAGAGCCCAGACAGCAGTCAACAGGCCACTGGGATGAGGAGAAAGGAAGGGGTCCAAATTTCAAGGCTGCCGGAGGGGCTAGAACTTGAGAAAGAAAAATCCCAGAGAAGTTGAAACTGCAGAGGAGGAGCCTAAGTCAATTTACAAATTCCCCTCAACTCACTGACTGATCCAGGATGAGAAGCTGGGAACACAGAAGAAAGTAGAAACTAGAGGCTTGAAAAACTAAACTAAAATGCCAATAGCCTTGTAGGACTACAAGCAGAACCACAGCAAGAATTCATGATGTCCCAGCAAACAGGAGGCCCTTGGTGAACACCCTGACATAAGTTCAGACTCCATAAGTCATAACCTAGTAGTAAGAGGAAAATCTTAGCTAGAAAAGCATAAAACTAAACTTTAATTTTATCTGGATCGCATCTACCTGCCAGAAAAAAAAGCAGAACCCTCCAGGGAGGACCTGATCATATTCCAAAGGTTCTCTAATTCATAATCTCTGATACATGAGAAGTTAGGAGACATAATAAAATAGGACAAATTAGAGAGAGAGAGAGAAAGAGAGAAAGAGAGAGAGAGAGGAAACACATAACAGGAAAAGACTGGTAACTTCTTCAGACATAGTTACCAAAGAGTGAGTTTAAAAATCACTGTAATTAACATTTACCCAAGAAATGAAGAAATGATAAAAAAAATATGAAGATGTCCTGATTTTCTGTCAGGATCATAAATTTGAAATTAATGGGTAAAGATTATGCTGATATTCTGTAACTTAAAAAGATAGTATCTGATGTTAAGATTGATATTGCTCCCTGTAACAGACAAACAGCAGAAAACACAATGAAGACGACCAAGTAGGAAAAAAAAAAAACTGAAGCTGTCTGCAGTCTGTAATACCTGGGACAACAAGGGGATTGATTCTCTAATCTGTAAGATATTCCAACAAAGCAAAGAGAAAAAGACAAAAGTCAAATTGAAATATGGGCAAAGGACAGAACAGGCACTCCAAAAACTGTGAAGCAATTCAACTAATAAGTATATTAAGATATGATCAACCAAATTATTAAGTATAAAAGCGCATACCACAAAGATAGCACCTCGTACCCATATATCCCATCTTGTACCTTCTGGACTGGGCAGACAGAGAGGAGAAGAGAGCCAGAAAGATGAAGAAAAATCTGACAGTTGGAGGAAAAGTGGAATGTCTAAGATGGTCCCCAGGGGAGTCAAATGACCTGTCTAACTGGGAAAGTATCAGCAGTATCTTGTTACTTGAATGTTCTCACACCTCCTCAACCAGCAATTCAACCACTACGTGTGTCCTAAGACAAACTTCCACACATGCACCAGAAGACTGAAAAAGAATGTTGAAGGTGACATAAAGCAGGAACCAGGAAAGTTCTGTTGGTAAAGCAGAAACCAGGAAATAAATCAGTTACCCATCATCAACAACAGAAACAAATAAATGAGAGATGTGGGGGGCTGTTGGCTTTTCTTCAGCAACTGAATATAGCCCTGTTGGAAGCCTGATCTCAAGCTAGACTTCCCGGAGACGTGATATCTAGGCTGCGTATTTTGCTTCAACTAAACTGAGTTGGTTTTCTCTTACTTTCACATAAAGGATCTCCAATTGCACAAAAAAAAAAAAAAAAAAAAAAAAAAAAAAAAGAGCCTATTCAGATTCTGAAGAATTTCAGGATACAAAATCAGCATACAAAACCCACTACACAGAATGACGAAAACACCAAGGTATTTTGATAGACACAAGTATCTGGTTCCATGACACATTTTAAGACAGAGCTGACTTGCATTATGCAGGCTTGAATACCACCAGATCAAGACAAGCCAAAATTAAACTACTCAGAAGGTGGCATCTCTGCTGCTGATTCTCCAAACTCATATTCATAAACAGGGCGACTACAGGGAATAATTAATGTTGACATACCTGGCGGAAGAGACGCTTCTTTAGATAAGCTGGAAAAACCTAAGGAAACAAAAATTACATGTTAAATTGGCCACAAGGAAAACTAACTGCTGCCTATACCTTAAAAGTTGACATAGAACTGACCCCATTCCCAATAGAGTCCTGGTCAGAAATTGTAGTTGGATTCCAGAAACAAATTGTAAAATTAACTCCTGGTGCTACTAAAACACTGTGTTTGCAATGAATTGTTAGAGTGAAAATAACCGCAATAGTAACTGAATATATTACCAAATAATTTGGCTTCCTTTAAAAGCAGTTAAAATCAGGGCAGGTGAGGGCTAGTGAAGGAGTGCTGAGTTCTGTGCTCTCTGAGCAAAAGCTTGCATTTTCAGAGATTTGGAAAGTCAGTAGTGCTTGTCTGATTTCATGGGAGGCTTTCCTTTCCCAAAACAAGACAAAATACCAACATTTTTCTTTTCCGTAGAATTTAGGGCTATGTTTTGTCTTACAAATGTGAGAAGAAGACGGGAGAGGTTTTAAGGTACAGGGGTCCATGAAAAGTGGGGGTAGAAAAATGAAGGGGCAAATAAAAGGAGCAAGTGTTCCTGAAAGAAATGGTCAGTTTCTGAGACTGAGCTTTGGAAGAAAAAGAAGGATGGAGCACATTTCTCTGCAGTGTGAGTAAAGAGGTGGTAGGTGGAACCATCCAGGGGTTCTGGATCTTTCTAAATATAGGGTGCTATAATTTGCAATTTATGTGTCCCCTAAAGGTCCACGTGTGAAAGGCATTCTCTGCAGGGTGGGTTATAGGGAGTGATGGAGTCTCTACCGGGAGGGTGCTAGGGGAGGTCTTTAGGTCATTAGAGAGGGCCCTGCCCTTGAAGATGCTTGTGGGGCCCAAGACCCTTGCTCTTGCTCTCTTGCTCTCCCTGGCCACGATATGAGCAGTTTGGGTCCACCATGCTCCTTCCACACCATGACACGCTGCCTCACCACAGACCCAAAAGCAATGGAGACAACCACTACTCAAACCTTCAAAACTGTGAGACAAAATACACCTGCTTCCTTTTTCATATTGCTTTTTTATCATCTCAGGGATATCTCACAGTGAGGGAAAGCTCACACAGAAAGTTGGTAGTGAGAATGGGATCCTTGCTGTGACAATATCTGATGATGTGCTTCAAAAGTCTCAGGAATTGGTTCATGAGAGCAATCTGGAAATGTTTGAAGCCGGCTATAAACAGTGCCCTCAGTGAAACTTCAGCAATTCTGCTGAGGGCTCAGAAGGCCAAAATACGGAGAGGAACATGGACTATTAAAGGCTATGCTGATGAAGTGTTGAGCAGAATTGAGGATTCCACGGGACATTGGACTAGAGGCTATTCTTTTTTTTTTTTTTTTTTTAAAGATAGAGTGAGAGAGGGAGGGAGAGAGAGAGAGAGAGAGAATTTTTTTTAATATTTATTTTTCAGTTTTCGGCGGACACAACATCTTTGTATGTGGTGCTGAGGATCGAACCCGGGCCGCACGCATGCCAGGCGAGCGCACTACCGCTTGAGCCACATCCCCAGCCCCGAGGCTATTCTTATTATAGTGTAGCAAAGAATTTGACTGCAATTTGTCCATTTCCTGAGACTTTGGTGGAGGCTGAATTTAAAGGTGATGTGCCAGCTTATCTGGTGGAAAAAATTGTTAAGGCAGCAAAGTATGGCCAAAGTGGCAGTGGGTACCTACCACTCACTGGCTGCTTTTAGCCAAGTGAGAATCAGGAACATAAAACAACACAATGGAAATATTGGGAAACTTGCAGTATGACCCAAAGAGGTACACGTGTAAAATTTTAGCCTAGGAGGGGGTAGCTGCTGAAGAAATTAGTGCCCAGAAAAAGAATCCAGGGGCTTTGAACATAAGACAATGGGAAAGACAGCCTGGGGTCTTCTGAGGAATAGAAAAGTGCCAATTTGTTTCAAAGACGGCAGCTCAAGGAAACAGTCCCAAGGGCACGCTGAAACCCAGGACAGCCTAAGGAACTATATCAGGGTATGGTGAAGACAGCGCTGCAGCCGAAACCCCAGCAAGAAAGAGATGCAGGCAATGACTGATGTTTGACAAAAGCAGCAGCACTCAGCATACAGCGCCCCCCTAAGAGAGTTGTGTGGCCTGCGACCAGAAAAGCTATTGGAGCAATGTGCCCCCTGGATTGAAGGTGCAGCTACAGGATTCAATGCTGGCCTTGTGTTTCAGTCTCGCTGTGCTCCCGGGTCTCCCCACAATCTTCCTGTTCTTCCCCTTTGCCATCAGAATGTTCATGCTGTTTCCATACATCAATAAATCTTGGAAGTAGGTCCTCTGTTTTTGTTTTTTCTTTTAAATTTCAGACTTACAGCTGAGTTGGCGTCCAGTCTCAGAGCATGCTTTGAACTTGGACTTTTGAGCAACTGTTAAAAAACAGTTAAGACTTCTGGACCCTTGCAGATGAATTATATGCGTTTTCCTTTGTGAGAGGGACATGAACCTTGGCGGAGTGGGGCTGCAGTAGAATGACCCAGCTTAGAACTTAAGGATCTCCCAGAGGGCCAGGTGTGAATGCCTTACTCCAGAGTGAAACTATTGGGAGGTGATGGAGTCATTAGAATGCCAGACCTAGTGGGAGGTCTTAGAAAAAGCTCCCCAGGCTGTAAGTAGAGCTTCACAGGCGACTCTGGTGGGGGCTCAGAACAGCTCTGAAGGGAATTATGGCACCCAGCCTCTTCCTCTTACTCTCTTTTCTCTTCAAGAGGATTGTGGGTCCCTCAACCCTTCCTTTTCCCCACTTTCACTCCCTGCGACATTACATGAACAGATTGCATCCACCACCTGCTCCCTGCCAAGATGATCAGTCCCCTTCTTTTCCTCCCTGGGTTTCTGAGGATCTGCCGCCATCATGAATGACACAGTGACTATTCAGAACAGGAAGTTCATGACCAACTGACTACTTCAGAGGAAACAAATGGTCATTGATGTTCTTCACCTGGGGAAAGCAACAGTATCTAAGCAGCAATTTGAAACAAAAAAAAAAATTCGCCAGAAGGTACAAGACCACACCAGATGTCATCTTTGTGTTTGGACTCACAACCCATTTTGGAGGTGGCAAGACAACTGGCTTTGGCCCGTTTTATGATTCCTTGGATTATGTAAAGAAAAATGAACCCAAACATAGACTGACAAGACACAGCCTGTAAGAAAACGGCACAAGGAACACAAGAACAGAAGGAAGAAAGCGGGGGGGGGGGGGGGGGGGGGCACTGCAGAGGCAAATGTTAGTAGATAACAGCCAAAGGAGTGAAGATTCTGCAAAGACTTTATCTGTGTTGATTGTGTGAATTTTTCACGAGGATTAATAAACTGTAAAAACTTACAAAAAAAAAAATGAGCTGTCCCAAAAAGAAATGGGGCCAATCCACTTTGGACTGGAACCTCCAAAACTGGGAGCCTACGGGAAACTTTTCTCTTCCTAGGTGGATTAGCTCAGAAATCTGTCATTGTGTTGGAAAGATGACCAAAGCATGGGGCTACTGGCAGGAGCTAAGGTGCTTGCTGAGTGTAATATGTGTCTTCTAAGTGGGCAGAGGAAAACAAGAGATAGTGAACTCCTGATGGGATCCACTAGAGATTGATAAGGTGGAGGCTGACATTTGAGGACTATTGATCTTGCTAAAAATAACAATGATAAAACTTCCCAACCATCCTGGCCAAATGTATGCTCATTGCTAATCCCCCTTCCTCCACCTTGCTTGGCATCCGTGATGTACTTGATACGCTCCTCCTTGGTCAAGTATAAAACAGGTTTCTTTTTCACAAGCAGGACGGGCTCCTTGGCAAACACGGCACAGCAGAATCTCTCCACATGGAGTGCACAGAAATATCTATGCAGACCTCCTTCATCATGGACTTCTAGGAATTTGCATGAGTAATTAATCTTCGCTTTCTCCTTACAGAAATGATAGACAGGCAGCCTGCTAATATGCTTTTCGATTTCACTTTCTATCTTCGAGAAATAACGCTGCTTTCTTTCAGGACCACTTCTTTCTATTTCCTGGGCATTTAAACCAACGAACAAATATCCGCCATCAGTATTTCCAAATGCAGAAACAGATCGAGCGACAATCTCCTTAATGCGCTGTAACGCCTTTCTTGTTGAGAAAAATTTCATCTCAACGTTTGTGGATTCAGTCAAATCCAAATGTTTTTTGTGTATAGGTTCTGTCATGTTAAAAAGTTTAGCAGCCTTCTTTTCTAGGTCAATTTCTTCTTGTACATAGACAGGGGCCCTCTTTGTGTGCAACTGTGATCTTGAATACGACCGGCTTCTACTTTTTCTCTCTCTGAGGAAGTCCAGTGCACTGGAAGCATTCATGACAACTGTATGTGTTACATTTCTTTGGTACAAATTTGTTTGCAAGGGGAAAATACTCATACCCGAGCTATTCTCAATCCATGGTTTCAATAAATTCAGGATTTCCTCAGGATCCTGCATGGACTCAAGGTCATTCTGAGCACATGACTGGATAGTATGCAAAGATTGGTCCAAATCTTGTCCTATTCTGTCTTTGTTATCCTCTTTCCTCTCAATTTCAGGCTTCATCACTTTTCCTTCAGAATTCAGTAAAGCACTCGTAGCTTCTGAGAGAGAGTCATTCTGCCTTTTTCTCAGTCGACGATCCTCCATTTCTATCTGATTCTGCACTCCAGGAGGGACCTTTTCAGCTTGCCACATAGAGTCTCCAAGTCCATACATGTTCATGTCCACAGTGGCCATGTGATTCGAGCTGAAATTCTTTCCTGTAAAACAGACAAAGCCATTAGAATGGGGCATAAGCAGGAGTGAGCATATTCTGAATTCTAAGAAAAATGGGGGCAAAAGCTTCTGCAGAAGTCCCACTGGACGGTAAGTGCACACCTCGGAAGTCATGATTTTTTGAACAGATTTTCACCCAAGACTATAATATCTTACACTTTTACTGATTTTTCAAATTTGTAGGTATAGTTTTCCATCATCATCTTCTAATTCTTTAAATCTTAACCCATGCTTACATCTCCATTCTAATAATTAATATTGTATAACACATATTTTATTATTTAGAAGCTGCCTCCCCCACATCGAGGGTGATTGGTTATAGCACCGTGAATGTTCTAAGGCAGTCTGCCTTAGTCTGTGTATTCCTAATTCATTAGCTTGTGCCTTTAAGGTCATTTGGAATACTGCTTTGCTATAAGTTGAAAACCAAAAGAATTTTGGTTCATCAACTGGCCCAGAGATGGTTGAGAGAAAAGTACATCTTAGGTAGTCATCGCTACCCAGAAAATGTTATCAGAGGGTCATAATATTCCTGTTTGCTGCTGGACCGTAGGTGTAGGCATAGGTGTAGTGGTAGGCTGTGAATACCTCCATTGTGTCTATGAATTCCTGATCACATGTAAAGAATGATAACTTTGAGGCCCCAGACCATTTGAGAATTTATATGTCAATGAAGAGCACTCCATATCTAGGAAAGAAAGAGGCATAAATCCATATAACAGCAGTTTACAGGGACCAGATAAGCCTTTTAATACATGCCACCCCTTCTACAGCTTCAGAGTGAGCACCATTCAACATGGAATAGGGGGGCTCTGTGTTTTTGCCTACGTGTGCGTGTGATGCTACTGGCTTCCTCCGACAGATCTCCCATGTTCATCCTTCTCTCCATGATATTTCCACTGAACTATAGATCCATGCCTGTCTCTAATTCCACCATAGATCTAGAGAAATCTTTAGAAACTGCATTGAAGTGTGCAGAGAATGGTTTTCAAACTACAGGAAATCTGTATTTTAAAAATCACTTAAGACACCAGAAGGAAAGGCTTTAAGGCTTGGTTTCTGTCGTGGACACTGAATCTTGGGAGGTTGTGAGTGCTCTCTTTGCTCTGTAATGCCTGCCTTGAAATTTCCTAATCCCTTTCCAGGGCCTACAGGAACCCAGGACCAGCAGTGTCCTCCAGTGAGGCTGCTCAAACCTAGATAAAACTGCCCACATCCTATTTCTCTCCTTTGGGATGTGCCACGACCCTCTACCCAAGGAACTGTGGGCCTCTGGAGTTGTTCTGGGACCCTGTGGTTGGCTGTGGATTCCAAGAGACCACCCAACAACAGATCCCTCTCACCAGATGAAGGGGTATTTCTTTCACAGGATCAAACAAGGTCAAACTGCCAGGATGGTGTCAATAGGCTGAGTTTCATTGACACCAATTTTTATATTGACAAGGGAGCCCAAACACATTTGCTTGGGTAGAATACACTTCTGATTCAGAGGTTTTCTTTTTGGGGAGCATTTGTTGTTCTCATAATTAACTCAATCTCCTTACTACTTATTGATCTGTTCCAATATTCTCTTTCTTCCCGAACCACATGCCCAACTCTTTTTATTTTTATTTTTTTTTTACTTTTGAGACATGGTCTCGCTAAGTCACTTAGGGCCTCACTAAGTTACTGAGGTTGGCTTTCAACATGTGAGTGTCTCCTGCCTCAGATCTCCAAAAGAGGTGGAATGGGAAAACCCCATGATGTGGGCAGCTGTGTGGAATGCCTTTGGGAGGCCTGGGACAAGATGTTGATCAGTTGAGGGTGAAGATGGTAAATTTCCCCACCAGATGACACGTACGCTTTTTCCTTTGTTTTTGTTTTCTGTCTTGGAAAAAACAAATTTAGAATTTAATTAGACACAGAGCCTTGATGAACATGGCTTTCACATGTGGGAACGATCTAGTATTGTCATTTTCTTGTCTCCCCTGAGTCTCATGGTTTCTTTTCCGACATTTCTTGATTGGCCTTCCTTTGAGTTTTTGGTTGTGACATTCTGATTCCTTTCTGATTTACTTTTGTGTATCTTTTACAGATAATTCCTTGAGAGGCTTCATAAAGATTACATATGAAGTCCTAAAGTCTTGACAATCTACCTTAAATTCATAGTAATTTCACTTCAGTTACATATAAAATCTGTTCCTTTAGAGACCCGTCCCTCTCCAATTTATTATGATGTCACACCTTTATGTCTTGAATACCTGTTTACACAGATTTTTGCAATCATTTTTTGGTGCTGAATGTCCTCTCTGTCTTGCGCTGCTTTTAAGATTTTCTCAGGGTTGGCTTTTCATCACAATGTGTTTTGATGTGGGTCCCTTTGGGTCCATCCTGCTTGGAGTTCATTGAGTTTCTTGGGTCTGTAAAGTCACATCTTTCATCAAATTTCAGATGTTTTCTGCCACTATTTCATCAGATAATTTCTCTGCTGCTTTCTCTCTTCTTCTTGGGCCAAAATAATGATATATTGAGCTGCTTGAAAGTGTTCCATTAGACCCTTAGGCTCTGTACCTTTTTGTTGTTGTTTTGTAGGCTAAATAATTTTAATGCTCTTGTCTTCAAGTTCACTGATCTTTTAAATCTCCCGTTTCTGCTCTTGAATCCTTTTAATAAGCTATTCAATTTGCTTATTGTATTGTTTAGCTCAACACATTCTTTGGTTCTTTTTCATAATTTTTAGTTTTTGTTGATATTCTCATTTTTTTCATATATTTATTTCCTGGTTTCCTATAGTGATATATATACATATTTTGGTCTCTAGAACTCTGGACAAATTTAAGACAGCTGTGGCATTTTCTTTCATGTTTTAAATTTTACAACTAAACTGTATGTATTTATAATGTAGGAAATGTTATTTGAAATATTTGGATGTTGAGGAATGACTGCTTTAAGCTAATTAGGATATCATTTACTTCATACACTTGTCATTTTTTGCGGTAAGAATACTTAAAATCAACTCTTTGATTTTTCAAGAGTATGACACATTGTGATGACACAGAGTCAAAGAGGAGAAGAAACAGTCTGAACAAGTAGAAATCAAGGTTCAGGCTAAAACAGGAATTGCACCAGATCTTGTACTTTAGGTATTAAGTTAACTAAAATTATGTAAGCATATAAAATATATATACACACAGTGAATGGTTTATGAAAGTTGAATTACTGGGGCAGCTGATGAAATACTAAGAACTTGGATATACATTATCAAATGATATCTTATCCGATTTTTCCTTAGCAACTTTATCTTGGGGAGGAGGATTACAGGGCTTCACCTATGGTGAAGACCATGGTTCCAAACCTATAATAAAATAGCACCCTGCCCAGACAGGTCCCAGAAAAAGTGGGGCTACAGGAAAAGTCTTGACTCCTGGTAGATGAACAACCAAGAAGCTAGGTAAGCACAATCATTTCAGTTTAAATTTAAAACAATAATTTTTGTCATGTGACATCATTATGCAAAAAAAGCAGAGAAACATGTATATTCCTGCCATACTGAGCTTTCTCCACAGTATTAGGGCATAATTAGTGTCCTTTACCCCATCACTTTACCCCAAATTTCTTACACACAGGCCAGCTCAAACATGAGTCACCTTCCTGTTGACCATACAGAAAAGATTCTCCATCTCCATTCCAAGGAGGGCAGGGGAATCAGTTTCACTTCTGTTCAGTGATACATTTGAACTTCTCCATCTTGGGTTTATGCTTTTCCAGGAAGAATATGGTCCCTCATCTCATACTGTAGCCTCTGAGAGTAGACTGCTGTCACCTTTCCTCCCAGCCCCTATTCCAGCACACTCTGCATCAGTCCCTGCTATTAGGGACACTTCTGGTTTATCCACCATATGCAAAAGGAACAGGAATCAATCACACCTGCCTCCCCCCACCACCCCCCACATGCCTAAGGAGCATTCTCATACCACTGGGGAGCTTGAAACTAGTGGCGGCTGCAGAAGAGGGTTCTTTAAGGAGAATGTATGGGCTGGCCTGGGTCCTCAGCAATCTCAGCCCAACACCCAAGACTAGGTACAAATTTTTATGTATCACTGATTTTAAGAATCACTTCTTCAGGCATATATCTGGGACACAAGCCTTCAAAAAATAATCTGGAGACGGGACTGCACCAATTCAGTAGGACCTTAAACTCAATATCCTCTGTGAGACCTTGGGTCTGGGTTCACAAGTTAGTTTTCTCTAAAATCCTTTACCTGTGGGGAAAAATTCTATGAGACCTGAACTTGGGATAAAGGTTGTGCTGTTAGTTACCTCCAGTCACAAAGGGGACTACATACAATCCCTTGAGTTCTGCCAGAAGAACAGGTTGGTAGAACTGCACAGAAAGGTGGGACCCAAGTGACAGGAGAAACCTCAGGAACAAAAATCAAGGAACATTCCTTGCCCCTACTTCTGCTAGGTGCCACTTTGAATTGCATCTGGGAAGGCACTTTGTCCTTTCTCCTCTTCTAGTTTATCAACTTCAGGCAGGGCATTCCTGTGCTTGCTTTCTCTTTCTAGACCTAGAATGCAGTTCTTCAGTGATATCACCACGTTCCTCAACACCCCTCACGTTCAGATCTCTAGGAGCAGGGGCACCCTGTGGCACTCTGGAGACCACAGGAGCCTGACCCGCACCCTCTGCACCTGCCTCTCTAGCCCCTGGTCCTAAAACGCAGGCCCCAGGCGCCCTGTCCCAAAGCTGTTTAAGGCCTCTCCCACCCAAGCAGGGACCAAAGTCCTGCTGGCACCAGTACCCCGAGGTCTGAGATCGAGGTGCCTCCATGGCCTGTTGAGATTTGGTAGAAAAGCCAAGTGATCAAGATTCCCAGAAGCGAAAGAAACCAGCGGGTTTGGAGAGGCAGGTCTCCAGACACCGGTGGCCGGATGCTGCCAGCGCCCCTCCTCCCCCAGAGCCAATCGCCCAGATACCCGGGACAAGATGCGCAAAGATGGCCCCATTGAGCAGACAGACTTACTAGAGCACCCTTACCTGGTAGCAGGATCCCTCGCAGGAGCCTTGTGAGGCAAGTGAGTGCGGGTTCCAGAAAGACTAAGCCGGCGACTGGGGCACCCTGCCCCGGGGAACCTTGGTCTGCACGCGAAATGGCAAGGCCAAGCTGCTGCTTCTCCGCGCGCCCTCGGCTGGGGGCGGCTGGGGGAGTCCCTTCCTGCTTCCTTTCTTCTGTGTCTTCCAAAATGGCCCCTGGCACTCCAAGTGCCTTTCTTATGAATGAATATTCGGAGCCCGCCCACTGTGATCAGCTGACACTCAAGAAGTGGAGCCACGGGCGGTATGCTATTGAGTTCTTGCGAGATTGTCCCTGGTTTATCAAAATTGAAGAAGTAGCACGGCGCGGTGGCGCACATCTGTAATCTCAGCGACTCTGGAGGTGCAGGCTGGAGGATCTCAAATTCAAAGCCAGTTTCAGGAACTTAGGGAGACCCTGCCTCAAAAATAAAAGAGTCGGGGAGCATTTGGAGCTCAGTAGTAAACTGCCCCCTGGGTTCAACCCCCAGCACCCTCTCCCAAAATAGAAGAATTGCCAGCCTCTAGCGCAGTAATTCAAGATTTCCAAACTTCAACACTCCTATTCCCAGAAGGACACTGCTGTCCCCTTGCTGTTGCCTCCAGAGATAGATTGAGAACAGCTCAATGAACAGGAAACAACCAAGGGGCTAGGAGAGGACTGCTCCAGTGAAGGCAGATTCAGATGCCTAAGGCTCCAGGTGCAAGGAGCATCTTAAGGACATCTGGGACTATTCCTTTCTCTGAGTTGCTCCATGGCTCCTGTGGTGGGATACAGCCCTCCTGCAGCTTGTTTTCCTGGGTTCTCTAAGGAAATACTGTGATGGTGATACAGTTTCTCTAACTCTGTGTAAGACCTGTCACCAGAAACCACAGCTTTTGAAATGAATGATACTCAAATGACTTACTGTGGAGTTTACAAGTCTGATTTGCTCTCACTTAGAAACTAGAGCCCACTGGGACTCAGCTGCTGACTGTTGGAGTTGGACTCTAGAATCCTGCTGCACATCTACCCCAGGAAGCAAGAAGGAATAGCATTTCACACTCACAGAACACAGATATTGAAAGCACAAAGCTGTGCTTCATCTTAGTTCATCCTCATGACAGCCATAAGAAATGGTTTCACTGAGGTGAAGAAACTCCTCTTCAGGAACTGACTTTAAAAATAGTAGAGCAGGAACTTTCCCAGAGCACACAAGCATTTCCAAGATGTAAACTGACAAATAATAAGTGTTAGCATAACATAATGGGTGGGAGGCACATCATTTCCCTAGGGGCTCCCCAAGTACACAAAATTCATGCAACTTTTAAATCCTGTTTTAATGACCTCTGGAGCAAAGAGGAGACAGCGCTCATAGAGTACATTTAAGGCATAAAGAAGAAAAGAAGTACGAGTGTGTGCACACTCCTACCTACACAGAGAATGCTAACAGGAACGTACAAACCCTTGCATGCTGCTCCCAAAACATACCTCATTCTTTCTCCTCTCAGAGGTAAGACACTACAAATTTCACATTCCTGTGCTTTTCTTTATAGTTTCACCATGTTTTAAAACATATGAGATTTGGTTTCACATGTTTTAAACTATAGTTTATAAAAATCGAATCATACTTGGGTTGGTTGTAAACTGTCCAGTGTTCTTTGACATCTTTGTCTCAAAAGGCAATATCTAATTTCCCTCCCCTGGAACACGTGCCAATCTTGGTTTCTTGCATGTAACTAAGAGAATCAGGCATCAGCCATGCTGAATCAACACTTCAGAGAGTTGATTTGAAAAGACAGTGCAGCTTTCCCAAGGTCCCTATCTGTAGGAGTTTGGGTGGGGGGCGCAATGTGCATGTGTGTTGGCAGGGAAGACACCTAAGGACCCCCCCAGCTGTTGATGTTTCTCCACCATCAACCACACACAGGTAAAGGAGTCTTTGAGTGATTCCAGCCCCATTGGTCAAGCCATTCTAGCCAAAAGTGAAAGCAGCAGAAACAAAGCTTCCCCGCTGTGCTCTGAATCTTTTCCAGACCCTCAGGATCTCTGAGTATAATAAATGTTCATTTTATATTGCTAAGTCCCAGGGGAATTTGTTACACACCTGTAGTAACTGGAACAATACTATGTGCATCTTCTGCACTCTTCCTACCTTTTCCACCAACATTATGTTCTGATGCATAGTCCTCAGTAGGAAATGGTAGCTCACATCTGAAGCCCAAGTATAATCTACCAGATGCCACGATGCAGTGCTGTCTTCACGTTCTCCTTGATCTAAGTACTTTCCAACCCTTGCATTTTCGCACTTACTTATTTTTCTCAACCATGAAAGTTTCAGTTACTTCTCTCTAAGCAACAAGCATTGATTGGCGTGTAACAAAAAATTGTGCTGCAAATATCTATAGATCAATTAGGAAGCAACTGATCTTTATGAGATTACAATTTGCAGTCCATGAACACAACACAGCTCTGTCATTTACATTATCTTCAGTGCCTTACAATTTAGTTATATACAATTTTCTGTAATGATCTTGCACAACTTTTGCTGCATTTATTCTGATGTCCTTTATTTTGAGGCAGTTTAGATGATATATTAAAAATATTTTCTTCCTTTTTCAAAATAATATAGTTGTTTCTCAAAAAAGCCCTACCAAATCCTTAGGGCTTTAAACTCAATGTCCTCCCTGACAGCTTGGATCTGGGTTAAAAAGTTGTTTCTTTTAAATGCCTTTAATTTTTGGACTGTAGGGAGAATTCCATGAGACCTGAACCTGGGACCTGAGACCTGAATCTGAGGCTGTCTTTAGTTACCTTGAATATCAAAAAGGACTGCATACGATCGCCTCAGAGTTCTGCCAGAAGTGCAGGTTAGTAGAACTGCACAGAAAGGTGGGGACCCAAGTGACAGGAGAGACCTCAGGGGAACGAAAGTCAAGGAACATACCTTGCTCCTCCTACTGTCGGGTGCCACTTTGGATCGTATCTGGGAGGGCAATGCTCTCATCTTTCTCCTAATTTATAAACTTGGGACAGGATACCACTGTGCTTGCTTTCTCTTTCTGGACCTAGATTGCTGTTCCTCAGTAGCGTCACCACGTTTCCTCAACTCCCCTCACATTCAGATCTCCAGGAGGATGGAGCACTCCGAGGTGCTCTGGAGACCCACAAGCCTGACCCGCACACTCTGATTCTGCCTCTCTAGACCCTGCTTCTAAACCGCTGTCCAGCACAAGCAGGCATGGACGTCCTGCTAGCACTCCTAAACCCAGAGGTCCGAGGTCCGAGTCCGAGGTGCCCAAGTCCTCGACAGTCCTATTTGAGGGTTCCTAGAAGATGCTATGAACGCATGACCCATGTGGTCAAAATTTCCAAAAGCGAGACAATCCAGCGGGTTTGGGGGAAGCGGGTCTCCCAAACAGTTGTCGAGTGGTGCAGTGTCAGAGACAGTCGCTGAGATATTGAAGCAGGCCAGAGAACCCCGCCCAGAAGACCCTTATCATAATTAAGCAGAAACCCTCATCATATTTGTGGCACGTAAGTTCCTCTTAGTCTGCCAGAAAGCTTTTTATCAGCGAAAACTTCTGCAGGAGAGGCACTGTCATTGGTAGTTTCCTCTTGTAAATGCCAGGTTGAACGAAAAACGCTTGTCAAATGAAACTTCTAGCTGCCCCCCACATACTCTACCAAAATCTTTGTTCAAAGGAAGAATTCTTAGGCACGAGCCACCTCTGAACCCTGCAGTCAATAAACCTACTTGCTGAAAATTCCTCGGGTGTCCAGCCTCTTCTGTCCCACTCCAACATGGAGGACAAGAAGCTGATGCTGGGAGATGTGCCAATAGAGCTGGACAGACTTACCCGCTATTGCCTGGAAGCAGGAGCCCTTGCAGATGACAGCGCACCCAGGGGCCAGAGCAGACTCTTACTAGGTGAGGTGAGGGCAGGCTCCAGAAAGCAACATTAGCACCCTGCTGCAATAAACCTTTGTCTGTACGCGCCAAACCGCAAAGCCAAGCTACTAGTTGCGTGAGTGCAATCCGCTGGATAAACGCACTGGAGTCCTTTCTGGCTTTCCTGCAGCCTCCTTTATCTTTCAAGAGGGCCCAAGGGGCTCTAAGTCCAGTCTCTTGAATATTCCGCAGCCCGCCTACTGTGCCCAGCTGGGGCTACTCTTAGTACCCTAGGGCAAGCGTTTTTAAATTTCCCACCAAGAAATCCTGGCAGGTCTTGAGGGAATGTTGTCACCTGGGAGGAAGGACTTGTCATCGCAAGATGTGGAATTCCCAAAAAACTAAGGACGCGTCCAGTTAGTGGTAAACAAGCCTCACTCACCGGGTAGAGTTATCCCATCCCCGGGAGAATGAGGTTAATAATAGTTAAAAAACAAACAAACAAAAACCCACGCGGTGGCGCATGTTTTTAATCCCAGAGGCTCAGAAAGCTGAGGCAGGAGGATCACAAGTTCAAAGTCAGCCTCAGCAATTTAGGGAGGCTCTCAGCAACTCAGTGAGACCCTGTCTCTAAATAAAATACAAAAAAAAAAAAAAATGGGGGAATAGCTAGGGATGTGGCTCAGTTGTGAATAAGGAGGAGGAGGAGGAGAAGAAGGAGAAGAAGAATTCCTAAATTTTCATTCTGAAATGTTTCAGATGCAGAAAAAGGTACACCACCACCGGTGCATCCACGATCTGGCTTAGGAAATGAAAGGTGCTACAAAGCCGCGGGTCCTGCCTCCCCTCCCCCCTTTCCGTCCTCCTGCTCCTCCCCCTTCTTTTCTCCACCCTCCTCCAGCCTTCCTCCGGTTCTTACTGGCCCAAACCAGCAGAAGCTGGAGCCTGGGTCCTGCCTCAAATCCACGCGTCCTTTACAGCGTCTGTTTAGGGTCGCTGTCTGCACCGAACCCGCGGCTAGCTGTTGTCGCCAGGTCTGAGCGAGCTCAGCGCGGGTTTCCTTCCGTGCTGGTTGAAAGCAAGACTGCCTGCCGGCCTCCTCTCTGCACCCTTCCCAGGCCTTCACCTCTGGGTGACCTGTACAGGAGGTCACCTGTTAGAGTCTGTAAATAAGTCAAAATAACACCTGGCATTTTGTCAGGGGAATGTTAAAGTTCGTAAACAAGTCTGGATGGTGCCTGGCAAAATGCCAGAGGGAGTGGTTTGAGAAGTAACAAAAGCGAGCCATTAAGTGTAGAGATTCCTGATTGGTTGACTGATGTATCTAGTTTATGCTAATTAGATAAGCTGTGTGGAATGTATAAATACTGCTCCTGTCCTACAATAAACGGCTCCTACGGCTCCTACTCCTGCTGTATCAACGTTCACAAGTTGTTCGTCACCCCCCTGATTATTCTGCTGCAGCCAGACAGACTGCGGCTGTCACCTATTCCTTTCTGCAAAAAGTTACTGAGGGCTTAAAATGTTTCCTAAAAGAAACAGGACGGCTTAAAATTTCATCCCTTGGAATAAGTAGAATAACTCTGTAGGCCC